TGAAAGTTGACATGCCCCTGGCCGTCACATGTCCAGAAATAGTTTTAAAAACTGTTGCACCAACTGAACGTACACTACTGTTGGGGTCATCTCTCTTTGTCCAGTTGTTATTGGTGTAAATCATCAGTTGTGGCATGCATTTTACAACTGAAATCATATATTTTAGGGATAGACAGCACTGTTGAAGTTCCCTAAAATGTGTTGCACTTGTAGGTTGCTTTGCTTTCACTCTTCATCTGGAAAGTCTGGACATTGTGCTGTTTATCATTTGAAGCCTCTCGTCTTGTTCAAGGGGGTCTGAAAGGTTCTGACTTCCTTTGTTCATTTTCTTTATCAAAATACTGCTTCACACGCATTTTTGGTGACTTTTTTGTTATACCTTTTGACAGTTTACTTCTTAGCTTTGTACCATTTAAGGTTATTGACTGGTCTTGCTTAATGTAATTGCTTAATTGTCATTAAAAAGTGGAAAAATGGAGGTGACCCCAAACTTTTTAATGGTAGTGCAAGTTCAAGGTGTAGAGTCAACACCAACTGCTACATCATAACACCTATGATGGGGGAAAACAGACTGTTTTATTACAGAAGAGAAAGTATGAATATCACATCTTATTGTAACTAATTCATATGGTGCAACACTTACTGTCTCCATCATTACCTTAAGACTGAGCTAGAATTAAACTTACCTGGTGGCTGTGCACTGAGTTTAGTGTGTGGCTAAAAACATCCTTATTTATGGAATTTATTTACAATATTTTGAATTTTACCATTGATTTACTTTTGCCTTAACTGTATGGGAAAAAAAAGCTGACCTATTGCTTTGAAATGCATAATTTGCCTTTAAAGGGGCAGTTCAAAAAAATTCTCACCTGTTTTTATTTGTTCATTATAAAGTAGTTCCATTTAAAATTGTCTGCAGCAAAGTCTGTGGACTATCCAGAGTAACAAGGATTGTGTGTATGGAAAGTACTTTTACTGTATAAAAAAATAAAATTCAAATTGTATTAAATTCAATTTCAGTGTGTTGAAAATCAAACTAAATTACACTCACCTCTGTTGTTCTGGGGTGGCAGCAGATACCAGCAACAAATTCTGAGCAAATAAAACCAAAACTAACTGCATGGCTAGATGCCATTCTAGGTAAAAACTCTAGTTTTTAGTAACTTGGGTATCAGACCCTTTAAAAGGCAAATATCAGTACTGCCGTCATCACTTACCATATAATGATGTAGTAACAAAAAGGAAATTAGTTTGACATTATATCGTATTAATTGCCATACATTAGTCTAATTGCAGTTCTGTGCTCTGTCTCTCCAGAAGCAGCGAGCATGCCAAGCATCAATCTCCCTGGGCCAGACAGTGATCTCCAAACACAAGAACCTGCGCTACTACAGCTCCAAGGTCACCCAGATCACTTGCCAGACATTCTACGAGGTCATGTTTGATGATGGCTCCTTCTCCAACGATACCTACCCCGAGGATATAGTGGTGAGAATATATTTAATTAGACGTGTTATAAGTCACCTCCCAGGTGTGAGGTCAGATATTAAAACCCTGTCATTGCATGAGGGATTACCTATAAGCTTGTTTAAATACTTCTAAGTGGTGCAAAAAACAGTGGTGATCCAGAGTCATTTTAAATCACTTCTGTCATAAAGCTTTTTGTATATAGCATGAGACAATGATTTGTGGAAATGCCATTCAGATAAATAGACTATCAGAGGACTGCAGAGTTGTCATTGCAGCAGCAAATTATCACAAACATGACCATTTTTGATGAGTTGAAATTCATAGTTCTCTTTCAGTGGCTTTGTTTCATGTTTGACAGTGGGACTGTCTGGCATGGCCTCATCAGAAGCTCCTATTGCATTCTGCCAGAATTGACTGAAATTAAGCATGTCAGTTTGAGGGAGGGAAAAGACCCTTCCCCCAATAAAAGAGGGCAACAACTCTCACAGTCATTCAAAAACCTCAATTTGCTACCCGCAGAAGTTCTATCTCTTGAGCCAGCTGTCACTCCAGGACCAATAACACAGGCATTAAACCTGGTCACCTGGCGCTTCAGTCTTGGTGTGCAGTTTCTTGAGAGAACTGCTCATACTGGTCTGTCACCAAACAGTAGTTTGAGCCGCTGACTGTGAGTGAAAAGTGTCAGTGTGGGGTTACCATCTTTTAAACGGGGAGGGTCCCTTTCAACCTTGACACTGATACACTTGGTTCTAGCCAATCTTTGCTGGCTGAATGCAACAGGAGCTTCTGATGAGGTCACACCAAAGGCATTCCCAATGTGAGAAAGCCATGCATGCTTCTCAGAGAACCATGGTTATGTAAATAACCCAAAGATTTGTTGAGGTGGTCATGGAATTGGCGTGCTAAACATTGTTTAGGTAACTGATCAGCACAATCAGACATTTATGTGCATTACTTTATTAGTGAGGACATTCCACCCATTTGCGTACAGTCAAGATCCTCAACCTTAATTAACGTAGTGTTTTTTTTTCAATGTACAGCAAATTGCACACCACCTAAATTCTTACTGCAAGACTTTTAAAATGAACTTTTTTTTTAAATCTTGAAACTATTGTCTTCAAATATATTACAAATAATGGTTATTTATAAAATCTCTTTTTCTTCCTTAAAGCTTGATGGGATCAAGTGCACTAATAGGTTGTCAGAATTAGGTTAATATCTTCATACTCCATTCAAACAGTAATTGGAAAACTAAAGAGAGGTTGTTTCAGCATGAAACCACTGAATGTAAATTATTTTTCTCATTTTGTCTTTCTAAGGACATTTTGACACACTCAGGCGCTTACATGGCCAACCGTTATTTTCTTATATTTTCAGAGCAGAGACTGTGTGAATTTGGGTCCTCCTGAAGTAGGGGAAGCTGTTCAAGTGAAATGGCCTGATGGACTGTTCTATGGTGCCAAATACTTGGGATCCAATGTCTCCTACATGTACCAGGTACACACACCCACGCAGTCATGACAGTGGTCAGTGTGGAGGGGAGGAGACAGACATAAGACACAGTTATGCAGGTTTTATTATTATTTTTTTTTCTGTCTGTTATACAAATTTGCACACTCAGTTGCAGGTCAAAGCAAGATGGCAGTAAACTTGTTGAACTCCGTCAGCATCAGAATCATCATGACTGCACTGACGTCAGGGTCCCCAAGTTTATGCATGGAGAGCTAGAGAGAGAGGACACTTGAGACAGTGAGAGGTCCTGAAGTCATGTTGTTGGGAGAATGAAAAGATAGGAATAAAACATTATTCATGGTTAAGGCATATGGGTAAAGAAAAGATGGAGAGAGTGAGAAAGCAAGAAGGGAATGAGGGGGAAGGTGGCAATCTGCATTATTCAAATTCACTTAAATATGCACTAAGCTAGTCATGCAGCTTCCGCTTGAAGCTTTATTTAGTTGAGCTGGGCGTCACCTATTAATTATGCACAAATGCATCTGTGACGCACACACTGTCTAAGATACGTCAGACTTCAGAAGAAGGCTGAACAAGAACCTTCCATTGTCAAAGTGCATTTATTAGTATGTAATAGCTTCAGGCTGTGTTTTACTTCCACAGCTCCATTCTTCGTGTGTTGATAACAGTAACTGTGATATCCAGATATGACTGTTAACGAGTCTGGATTTCTTAAACATGGTTTAAATTATATGTAGACTGGTCAAAGAAGCAGGTTCTTGCAAAGGTTCAGGTTTATTGACAGTTGGATCATGAGAGAGAGAGTTATAGGGTGAACCTCATACATAAACTCATTTGCAGCTACAACTAAAATGAAAATGTATCAAACATGAAAAAAAATCTACCCTTGTTCATGAGTGGGATGTCAAAGGTCAAGGTCAAAGTGTTTATTTGTCATATGCAGTTAGGAAACATGTTTCCCTGTACAATGAAGTGTGGCAGAAAAAAATCAAATTTAGACACAAGTGAATAGTTAATGAAATGTTATAATAAAATGCCTTTACTAAATATCTGCTAACATAAAAAAACATCAGTGGGCATCAGCACTCTTCCCTTCCTCAGCATGTGTGAACTCGCAGCACTAACTGTGGAATCATTAGTGTTCAGACATCCTGAAGAAGTAAAGTGTGTAGATATGCAATGATATAAAAAAAAAAGTTAATTTTATCATCAGCCAGCCACTTGAGTGGTGTCTAAATTGGATTTTTCTTTCTGCCACATCCCCCTCATGGGCAAGGGTATTTTTTTTTTTTTCCCCCTCCGTGTTCTTGAAACTTTCTTTCAAATTGTTTAATGGTCTGAAATTCTACCAACAGGTGCCTCAAAGAAAACACAGGGCAGAAAATAAGTCAGCAGCACTTGAAGCTGCTCAATAAGCTGGTTGAGTCAATTGAAAGCAACTCAGTTGAGAATATCAACATTTTTATCAGCAAATCTGAATCATTGAACAGACAGTAAAAAACTGTCAGCGACATCTAGGGGCAGGCCAATTAGATTTTGAAAAGGTCCTTGTGGAAATTACACTCTTACCAGTGTGTGTGCACAGTCCATTTAACACTGCACAGATTGCTGAATGTTTAACCGTTGTCTTAGGTGGAGTTTGAGGATGGGTCTCAGGTGCTGGCAAAGAGAGAAGATGTGTATACTTTAGAAGAAGACCTGCCTAAAAAGGTGAAGCGTAGACTTGTAAGTATTAACCAATGTGCAACACAAGTAATATCATAGTTTGACCCATTAACAAAGTCACAATTATTTTGCCACCTGGGACTTTTATTTGCTTAGTGGTGTACTCCCATGTCTCCTTTTTTTTTTAGTCCACTGCCTCGAGCATGCGTTTCCAGGACACCTTCTTTACCACGCAGGGGGAGAGGAAACGGCAGAGAACACCTAATTCACGCTTTCAGAAAGACTATGTGGCCCTGCCCGGCCTCCGTACAACTGCCAAAAGCACATGGGAGCAACGCAGTCACAAAGGAAAATGAAGTCACGGAGAAAAATCACTGACTAATGAATGCACTGAATTAACAGTGGATGTACAGGGGAGGTTGAGAGAGTGTGTGTGTGTGTGTGTGTGTGCTTGCTTGTTAAATTTTTGGATCTATTTTGATCTTGACTATTTCCCACACAACTTCCTTGTGAATAGATCGGAGGAAACGGCGTAAAGGAATGAATGAGTCTGGTTATACTGATGTTTATGAAAGTGTGCTTGTACAAGATATAGTCAGTTACTGGTGATTAGGTGCTTTGACAGAAGATTTCTGACTGGACAGCTGGACTTTTCTAGAATGGGCTAACAGAGGACATTGTTGCCTTGGTGGCCTAGTGCTTTCACATCCATCAGGGAAAATAAACGTGACTTACAATTATCATGTCACCCTTTTTGAAAACTTTTTTTCTTTGTACACAAAAAATTCAGAAGTGAGATTTTTCTAAATAGCTTGCCTAAGGTAACTCTTTTTTTCCCCCTCATTTTGGTTTTGAATATTTCTGCAGTTTGCTTGTAGTATTTTCATCATGTCTTACTGCTTCTCTCTGCATGTTTAAACATCGTCTCATAACTGCTTCTGCTGGGCCAAGTCCAATTACACCACAGTGGCTTTCTCTCTGCATGTTTTTAGTCCTTACATGCATTAATATGAAGTGTGTAATTGGACATTGAAAAGTTAATGGTTACAGAAACAAAGGGAAAGAATGGACCACACTACTTATTCTACTTGAGGTTAAAGATTCAGACAGGAAGCTACGTCTGTTTTGGATTTTGTGCCCTGTTAACGTGAAATGCTACAGTTGCTCAGTTGAATGAAACACTGAAACTATTTAAAATTTTTTATTTATTTTTTTGCTTGCTATAGTTAAACTATTGCTAACTGCTGTAAGGAAAACAATTAAAAATACATTTTTTTAAAGTGTCTTAATTTTAATAAAATTCAATTAAGAATTAAGTAATTCCAGGTGCAGCAGTAAAAGGTTTGAATTTAATAAATGAGTTGCATATGATTTTTAGTTCTCGGCACATCGTGGAACAATAACTAGATATTCTAAATTTATTTTTTTAAAATATACAATAAACCAAACGGTGACCATCATATACAGATGTCTTAAATATGTTAAGGGAAACTTAATTCCTGCCTCATCAGAAGCTGAATGAGGGCATGAAATGACTGCTGGCTGTCAACCAGCTACAGATTGCAGTGGTGGAAAGTAACTCAGTACATTTACTTAAATACAATTGTGGTATTTATACTTTAGTATTTTCATTGTGCTACTTCGTACTTTGACTTCACTACATTTAGAGACATTGCACTTTTTACTCCACTACATTTATTTTTAACTTTACTTTTCAAAACCAGATTAATACAAAAGTTACACTATAATTTTAAGATTTTATTGATCTCTGGTGGAAAATTCACAAGCTACCCAGCAGTATGTAAAGTACTTCAAACGTCAAGCATATACGCTACTTAACTAGCTCACCAGCTGCAACATTAAATTTGATGTTCATATTAATTTTAAATATGCCATTCTGCATAATCTGTATTTTGAGTACTTTTACATTGTGGTAGTGCTATCTTTACTTAAGAGTAAGGGATCTGAGTACTTCTTACACCACTGCCAGTTTGTTTCCAAAAGGTTCTTAAATATATACATTACCCAGCCACTTTTTAGGCACACCTGTACAAGTGTATGCACTTCAGTGCAACACTTCCACCTTAACATTTGGGTTCATGAAGCTCAAAATGTTTCGGTTTTTGGTGAAATTGTCAAATGTATAAATTCACTTGCATATTTATTACTGTGGTTATAGTTAAAGGTGTTGTACTGGACTATATTATATTCAGAGTTGTCTATAATTTGGTCCTCCCTGGTTACATACATGAGGGTCAGAATATTAGGAACACCACTGAATATAATGTAGTCCAGTACAACAACACCTTTTCTCTCACCTCAATAATAAACATATCATTGGATTTATACATTTGACAATTTCACCAAAAATAAGCTTCATAAACACATATTGAGGAAATGTTGCATTGAGTTGCATATAATTGTACAGCTGTACCTAATAAAGTGACCAGTGAGTGTATATACAGTGCCTTGCGAAAGTATTCGGCCCCCTTGAACTTTGCGACCTTTTGCCACATTTCAGGCTTCAAACATAAAGATATAAAACTGTAATTTTTTGTGAAGAATCAACAACAAGTGGGACACAATCATGAAGTGGAACAAAATTTATTGGATATTGCAAACTTTTTTAACAAATAAAAAACTGAAAAATCGGGCATGCAAATTTATTCAGCCCCCTTAAGTTAATACTTTGTAGCGCCACCTTTTGCTCCGATTACAGACTGCACCTAATTTTTACTAGTAAGCCTAACACTTTGTGTAGAGTACTTTTATGTTTAGGACAATCATTTACATTTTTATAGCATCATGATCTCCAAAACCTATGCAAGGAGAGTATATAAACATTAAGGAAATTACTTTCTGCTGTGTCGAGGTTTATGAACACCTTATTAATCTGTCAGGCAAAAATGCATTTTCTAAGTTAGTGAACATCAATGATATGGTTTTAACCATAAACTACTGTACAATGTTATCTCATGCTGAAGAATACTTGCCAGCAAATTCAGCCTTGCTGTTCCAGTGGATCCCGAGTAGCAGATAGGAAGTGAAGTAGTAGTGGTGGGGCTACAAAAGCTTTGGACTTCTGTGGAAACCACTTCACAGCCTGGCTCAAACAGTGCTTCGTGGAACTAAAGCCAAAGAAAGACGACATCTTTGTCACCAAAAAAACCACTTAGGTTCCAACCTGTCTTTTTATGACCTATAGTGGCTCATATCTTAAATTCTAACAAAAACAAACCCAAGCATGTCATTTGGATATTGGTAAATATTCAAGGTTGAAGACTGGATGCCTTTTTCAGTGAGCAGGTTTATTCAGTTGTAATGCTGATTGAAACCCACTTGTTTCTGTTTGGACTCTGTTTTCATTCACTATATTAGAACTGTGGCTTGTATCAACTGGGCTAAACATTTGGCCAATTCTCACTCCAATTATTCAATTTAAAAAGACAAGACCCAGTTACATGTCTCATTGTATATGCATAAGATGAGGTGTGCTCTTACAAACCACCTAGATTACTCACACAATATAGATCCTTTTCATAGCAGGAAAAGAACCGGTGTAATAACACTGAAGACTCAGTTCTGTTAAGTATTGCAGCAAACTGTTCTAGTCAGCATGCACACAGCCTCTTATAAGTGAAATACAACTGTCATCACTGGTGGAAAGTAATGAAGTACATTTACCCAAGTATGATGTTGAGACATTTGTTTACTTTAGTATTTTCATATTTTCTGCTTCTTCATACTTCAACTTCACTACATTTTAGATGCAAATATTAGATTTTCTACTTCACTACATTTATTTGATTACTTTTCAGAATCAGATTAATAAAATATAGCACAACCATCAGACTATGGATCCTAGGTGGGAAATTCACAAGCTACCTAGTTGTAATCCAAAGCATGAAAAGGTAGTTAAAGTTAACTCCACCTTTACCAGCTGCAACAAATGTATGTGCACAATAATTATAATCCAATAACATGATATAGATGAATGTGAACTCTATGTAATGAGTACATTTACTGTTGGTACTTTAATATATTTTGATGCTAATACTTTTATTTTACTTTTAAGTAACCAATCTGAGTACTTCTTCCACCACTGGCTGTCATTAATATTAATTTCACCTGTGTGCTTCCTTTTCAAAATGGCTGCCATGAAACATGCCTATTTTGTCACAGTTAAACATGATTTTATACATGATAGTGACGTCCCTTCAGCAAAAGTCTAGTTGGCTTAATCATAGGTTTGGTAACTGGTCAGTTTTGTAAAGACCTACATAAAAACCACACCAAACCACTCAGGTCCCTGTTGTCGGCCTTATAGGGAAAACACAAGCCACAGTTTAATTTGTGTAATTCAATATGAATGTTATATTTAAATAACAAAGAGCAAAACTATTTTGTAGCTTAAACTGATAAGCTATCTACAGCTGATACCAATGGTCCCTGTTGCATTGCACAGCCCCAGTTCCAAAAAAGTTGGGACAATGTGTAAATTGTAAATTAAAACCGAATGAAATTTTTGGAAAACCCCTTTTACCCATAGTCATTTGGTACCAGTACAAAGGTATCTAATGTTCAATTTCATATAGTTTGCTTTAATCTAAATTTGAGGCCAGCAACACATTCCACAGGGGCAACAAAAGAAGTTGTGTAATGTTTTTTTTTTTTTAACCCATAACTATTTAGGTTAATTGGCAACTGGTCAGCATCATGATTGGATATAAAAAGAGCATTCCAGAGAGGCTAGCCTTTTAGAAGCAAGGATCAGGTGAGGCGATATATAACCTGCAGGTTATATACAGCCATCCACATGATGTCTTTTTCAGTGAAGGCCTTGTTTATTTCAGGAAGACAATGCCAAATCCCATTCTGCACATATGACAACAACCTTGCCTTAACTGGCCTGACTCCGGGAGGAAGGCCAGTATGACATGAATATATGACAAATGAAGCCCCAAAGTGTAGAGTAGCTGAAATAAAAAAAAATAAAAAATTCTCTTTCAAAACTAAATCAATTGGTCTCCTCAGTTCCCAAACATTTGCGTGTTAAAAGAAGAGGTAATGCAGAGTGGTAAACATACCCCTGTCCCAACTTTTATTTAAGGTGTTGCTGACATCAAATAATAAAAAAAAAAAAAAGATAAAATTTCTCAGTTTCAAAATGTAATATGTTATATTGTTTTCAATTAAATGAGTCTTTCCAAACCATTTCATTCAGTATTTATTTACAATTTACTTCCCACCTTTTCTTTAGAACTGGGGTTGTTGTATTGTGTAATGAATGCTCCATGTCCCCAATATTGTGTTCTGTGTCTTGGAAAACATGGTTTTCCTTTTGTCATTTAGCTCAATTTCATCTTACAGGAACATGGTTCTCATGGACACTGCAATTTAGGTAAATAAAACCCTCCATTTGCAGTGTGCCTGCAGCCATGCTTAGTTCCTCGCAATAGCCAAGTTCAACACAAAGGGAGCCCTGTCCACTGCCACACTGGCTGCTCTGATAAAAAAAGCCAAATGGAGCATCCCACACAGTCTACTAGAGTAAATCTTGAATTTCTAAAAACTGAGCTGATAACACAGCTCATGGCAAATGCAACAGAGCTTCAGAAGCTGAAACAGCAAGACAGCTGAGCTCAAATGTTCTGCTTGAAGCCCAGAAGCAAAGCAGCTTCCCTACAGCCTGGCAGACTTGACAGAAAGGATTCACCTTGTCTTTACAATAACAAGTCAGGCATGAATGAGGGGAGTCCTTTCAGCTGCAGCTCTCCACTCGCTGCAGACTGTTGCTTGATTCAGCTTCCCAGGATGGATTTAACAAGACTAAACATTTAGAGCAATGCAAGCCCTGTGAGGCTAGAATGCTCATTACACGGCCAAATTTTACTGGACTTAGTAAATGGAATAGTAAGAAAAGTAATTTATCTGTCCAGTGGCCATTTTAGAACATCTCAGGCTCAGCTCCACTTCATCAGACTTGGCTCAGCTTTCCTCAGTCCATGCTACTGTAGCATATTGTGACTAAGTATTTCTCTCCTAAAACTGACATGTACCCATCCCATGAATGCCCAAAATATCTGTTTTTTTCTGATTATATAAAAAATATAATACTTAATTGCAGCAAGTAAACA